AAAAATCCAATTTTTGTGATTTTTCAAAAGTCATCGATTTTGTAATTCATCTTTTTCGGAGACAAACCAACGAAACAAAATACTTCTTTTTACCAATCGATAGCTTATAGAGTTCACTACAAGACTTCTCCCCAAAGTTTTTAAATTCCATCCTTTCTTAATTTTTTGCCATCGATCTACAAATGATCACTCCAGTGACCAATGGGGGGTAAAGGGTTAATCGAGAAGATACGAAAATATTTGTTAAAGCTACTGTTGGTAGTTATTCATGTCCTTCACGTTCAATTATTCGTAAAAAATTAAAACAATTATATAAAATTGAAAGACAAAAACTTAAAACATCATTGGAAAGTGTAAAAAGTTTCAGTATAACAACCCATGTATGGACTAACAGAAAACAAGAAAGATGTTTTACATTAACCGGATATTATTTCGAAGATGATAATCTTGATCGAATTAAACATACAATATTGTCATTCAAAAGTTTTAATAGAAGTCACACGGCTGATCGGTATGCATCAAAAATAAAGAAAGAATTAGAAAAATTAAATTTAGAATCTAAAACATTTACAATGACAACTGATGGAACTGCAAACGTGACAAATATGTGTACTATACTGGAGATAACAAATGGTATTAAACCAATTTATTGTGTAGCGCATTTCTATTGAAAAAATAAGCTTATTTTCATCAAATGGACGCTTGTCATGAACAAAAAAGTACAAAATGAATAAATTATAATAGACCAGTTTCTTCTAATAATTATCGAAAAACTTTGCTACATCGTTTTAGAATAGCAAGTAACTCTGGATTTACAATATTCTACTGAATATTCTGATGACAATATTGATTTAGAACAAATGACGGAAGGTGATGATCAAAATAAAAGTGGTTATGAATCTAGTGAAGAAATAATGAATTAATCATCGACCGATTTTAATTCGGAATCTGATCATAACGAAGACAATAACAATGATCACAGTAGTAAAGAAATAGAAATAACAATCGAGGATGCTAGAGAAATTATCACATCTATTACTAATGTTTTACTTAAATGTCGTAAACTTGTGAATCATTTTCGAAGTTGCACTAAACAAATCGAATATTTGAAAAATAGAATTGCTAAAACATTAAGATGTCATTCATTAATTATTGATTGGCCGATACGATGGAACAGTTCTCTTTCGATGAATGATCGTCTAATTACATTAAAAAATCATATTAATGCCATTTTAAGGAGGTCCCTCCATTTAGATTTTTCTCAAGGGTTCCCAGTTTGTAGAGGACACTTCGAAGTATATGTCCTGAAGTTTTTTCGGCTTACTGACGTTATTTGGCTGAGAAAAAAATTAATTACTTAAAAAAATGTTGTTAAATTTTTGAGCACGGGGTTA